AAGCTGAGTGTAAACTTGAAAATATGAGATTTGTATGAGAACACAAGAAAAAATATAAAAAACTTTTCGAAGTATTGATATTTCCCACCATTTTTCAATAGAATGAAGCCACAAATGATTAAAAATAATGAAAAAAGAGTCTCATTTGAACTTCAGACGCATTTTTAAAAATTTGTTGTTGAGCTTTTTCAGTACAAGCGGAAAATATGCAAAAATACTACATAAATTATGCATAAATTTTGCATGTGCAAGACAAAAACTTACGTAATCCATGCGAATTTTATGCACTTTATGCATAATTTTTGCATATTTTTCAAGAATATTACATAAATTATGCATAAAGTATGCATAAAGTATGCATAAAATTCGCATGGATTATATAAGTTTTTGTCTTGCACATGCATAATTTATGCAAAAATTATGCATATTTTTCAAGAATATTACGTAAAATATGCAAAAATACTACATAAATTATGCATAAATTATGCATGTGCAAGACAGAAACTTACGTAATCTATGCATAATTTATGCACAATTTATGCATAATTTATGTAATATTCTTGAAAAATATGCAAAATTTATGCATAAATTATGCATAAATTATGCATGTGCAAGACAAATGATCCATAATCTCATGTGTGTCTACAAACATCAATTTTCGGTTACAAGTTCTGAAACGATAACAATTTTAGAGATTATAAAAACAAAGCACCATTCGTGGGTTTTTTCAATTTCACAACACCTTACCTATTGGTCATTGATCCAGAACTGACAAAGCAAATAATGATTAAGGACTTTAAGCATTTTCGTAACAACGAGTTCAGCACTTTAGTGAGTTAAATGAAGATAGATTGTGGATGACCTTTTGATCCCTCGCTTTCATTACAGTCGAATAAGAAAAAAGATCCCGTCATGGCCTTAAACCCGTTTGTCATGAGAGATGATGAATGGAAGGAAAAACGAACGGAAGTCGCAGTTGGTATGACGCAGAATAAACTGAAATCAATTTTTCCACTGATTGAAGATGTAGCAAGAAAGTTTGCAATTTATATTGGACAAGAAATTGAGAAAAATTCAAGAAAAACTTTTAATGCTCGTGATATTTGTGTTCGTTATACATGCGACACTGTTGCAACTTGTATATTTGCTATTGATGGAGGTTCATTCACAAAAGATGATTCTGCAATCATTTTAATGGGAGACAAAATGATACGAAGCATTTCTGATGCAGCAAAAAGTTTCCTTCCAAAGCGCTTAATGCCTCAAGATGTTGAAGACTTTTTTGTATATTTAATGGAAGAAGCGATAAAATATCGAACAGAAAATGGAATCGAACGAGACGATTTTCTATCTCACATCATTTCTTTGAAAAAGAAAAAAAATATTTCAGGTAGATTGAATCAAACTTGGGTCAAATTGAACTTTTCTTTTATTGAAACAATTGTCTGAATGGAAATTTTTCATTTCTTAGATATTGAGATGGCATCGCATGGTGTAACATTTTTCTTAGGTGATTTATCTTCCATTACATCTTTGGAAATTGTTTTCATTGTATTTTCCTAACCATTTGAATTTCAATTCCCAGACGGTTACGACACCTCGTCAGTCGCATTGGCACCACTTTTCCTTGAAGTAAGTAACTGAACATGACAAAGACTACTACCAATGGTATTTGATTTAACAATTTACATTTACAGTTGGCAAGGAATCAAAAAGCACAAGATAAACTTCGTGCTGAATTGAGAGAAGCTGTTGGTGACTCAAGTCAAATTACATACGAGGAACTCATGGATCTTCCATATTTGGATCAAGTAGTTTACGAATCGTTGAGATTGACCCCACCACTGACATTTAGTAATCGTGAGTGTTCAGAATCGATTGAGATTGAGGGTGTTAAGGGTCACAAAGCTTTGATTGAAAAAGGGTTGAGAATTTTCATTCCGATTTTGTCGTTTCATCGTGATCCAGGAAAGTTTTTTTCTTCTTTTGAAAGGTTTCATTTAATAAATGTGTGATTTCTTTCTCTCTTAAATTAGATTATTTTCATGACCCTGATGACTTTATTCCTGAAAGGTTTGACCATGGTGCGGTTAAAATGTCTAAAGACAAAGGTGTTTTGCTTCCTTTTGGTGATGGTCCCAGAATCTGTAAGTTTGATTAAGAATTCTCATTGGATTCGCTTTTAAATTGTATTGATTTTGTTAGGTCTTGGAATGAGATTTGCACTACTCCAATTGAAAGCAGCAACATTCGAAATCATAAGGAATTTTAGGGTAACATTAGACCCAAAAATGTCAACGGAGAAAGTTCTTGAAATCGATCCCGATGAACTTTTGATGAATGTAAAGAAGGATGGCATTTGGCTTAATTTTGAAGTTGCTTAGAATTATTAAATAATTTTCATATCTCTTAAAATTATCTAGACAAATATTTAAATATTTTTTATTATTTGAAATTTACACAATTAAGAGCTTAAAAAAAGTTTTATTACATAAGAAATTGTCTAACATAATAATGTTAACCATCAGACTTTGATAATTTATGTAAGAAGTTTAATTCGTAAGATGTGTCTAGAGAAATGGATAAAACTTCTTATTTAATTTTAGATAATGGAAATGAGCGAAAAAACTCTCAATGTGCCTTCATGATGAAAGAAAATTAAAAAATCAACATTTTGAAATGTTCAAACAGCTACAACCGCGTTCTACTGCCTCTGAGCGTATCTCAACCGTGCTAAACTTCTCCCAAGAGCTCGTAAGAATTTTTATGTCTGAAAATCAACACACCGGATGCAATCAAACTTTCCTCCTCTTGATCCGCTGTTTTTTTTTCGCTTTTTTTGAAACAATTGCAAGAAAGAAAAGCACTCGAGAGCAATATCAATTTGAAGAAAATTTTCTTGAATAGCAAAGATAAAAAAAAGAAAGTTGGAAATGGAAGAAAAGTTTTCCCAACGCTCATTAAGCAGAACGAAAGTTTCTTTTTCATCCTCATCCCATCGACTCGATGCTTCCGATAAAAGTTTGCGCAATAGCGAAAAACTCTTGAGAAGTTCATTAGCATATAACATGCCTAACAATATTAATTCCAAACGATAACGATAAGAAGACAACGTTTGTGCATTTCATAAAGATAACTTCATTAATTGAATAAATTCTCGGGTTATGGTTAATATTTTGAAGCGTTTCACTAGAGCCCTTCAAACGTTCATCAAAATCATTTGTAAAGCAGCTTATCATGAAATGTTTTCATCATTATCTTCATCAGCATTGTATTCTAAACAAATAAATAAAATATGGTGTGAGGGAATGATGAAGGAAAACATTAATTTAAACCTTCAAAGTGAAAAATCTGTTGGCTGATCTTTCAATTTGACTTCTTTTGTCATCGGGGTCGATATAATGAGATATGATGCTATTGGCATTTTTCCTTTCTCATCATTCATTGCGTTGTTCGTGCTGATTTCGGGCTCTCGTTAAATAATAGCCTTTTTACGATATTGATAAAAAAATCAACTTAATGATGCTCAGTTCTTGGTTCGATGGTCGAGCATCCTTGACACAAATTCATTTTGCGTTCAAAGTGTTCTCAAGGCATGAATAATTTGATGATAAGATTCAATTATAATAAAAGTTTATTTATGATCATCTATTAACTTTCTCAACCATCTTTTTGTGGGCAGTTGTGTTTATAGACTCTCGACTTGAGTCGAAACCATCGTTTGGGTCGGCAAAAGAAAATGGAATGAACTTCGCTATCACATCAATGGACGTTGTGAAAAGAAACGGAGAAAGAAATTATGTTGAGCTGAGAAAATTGGTGATAAATTCTGAATGTGGGCTGAAATGAGAACGATCTAATTACGAAAATACGTTCCTAATGAACCATAATCAGAATGTGTGTGGATGTGTGTGATTGCGAGTGTATGCATGCGTCTTTGAGAGCTACAGACTCTGTTTCATTATATATAATTAATTAGATTTTAATTATAATCAGCATTATCGATAATTAATTAACACTACGTGAGTTTCTCTTTGCTTTTTCATTCATTGAAGATGTCGTGGTGTCTTCTCTCGTTTTTATTATTAATTTATATAATTCTAAAGTATAATTAGTATTCAGTATCAAAGTAATGTTCGAAGCAAGTCATTTGAGGTTTGTTGTTTGTGACATTTTCAGAATGAAATTTGATAAGAATCTTATACATGCTAAATATAGCTTTCCTATATACACAGCAAGACGAGAAGTTTTAAGCAGAATTTCAAACATAACACAATAGATGGAACATATCTACACATGTTCTTTAAGCTTCGACATTTTGTATCCCAAGGATATCTACATGTTACGATTTAATTAAATTAGAGAGTGGAAAGAGCGAATGTTAGTTATTTTATGCGGCATTTAACGTCAATATCAGAAACAAAACGAAAATTGTGATAGTAAAAAATAATATGTAGACATTTTGCAGATCTTGAATCTATTCCAAGTTAAAGTAACGAAGCCTTGCCAAGTCTCCAACGATAGCACTTAGAATCTAAGAACTAAAGTTAAGAGTACAAAAATGGAAGCTTACATTAATTTTTTTAATGTCTGCGATGTCCATTTGCCATTTGTTAGAAATATTCAGTAATGGTCCATAAATTCACTCTTCGATTATGAGCAATTTATATGCAGTCGTAAATTCGCCATACTTTTATCTACCAATTCTGGATTTCTGGCTTTATTAAAGCTTCTTCAGAGAAACCATAAAAAAATCAGATTAAACAATCACAGAGGCAATTTCGCTAATTACACAACATTAAAATTTGCATAAAAGTATCACATCGTAGCATTTTAAGCCCTGCCTTTAGAGGACAATTGTCGTTAAAGCAAAGGAGCGTAAAAAATCCAATCTCCTTTAATAGATGACAAGGAAGGATGTTTGTCTCTAAATTTCTTCAGTACAATGTCTTGTTAGTGTTTCTCTCTCTCTTTTTCTTCTTTTTTCAAAATATTCACTTCACTCGTAAAAGTTTTAAGATGACAAAGAAGAAAGAAAGAAAGAATGAAAGAGAAAATAACATTCATTTCATTTTCGTTTATCAGATTGACAAAATAACAACTGAACAAAATGAACAACACAAAATAAATTTGAAAGCGAAAAATGTTTATTTGAATGTTCGTCCTGAGACAAACAAGACAACCGAGTGAACTTTTTTTTTTGTTCATTTCTTCCCTTTTCCCTCGTTTGCTTTGTTGTCGAGTGGAAAAGAGAGAGAGAGAAAAAAGTTTTATTATGCCATCACGAAATATGACAGTTGGAGATGTTGCTTCATTTATCACGATGCTTAACTGGTTAGAAGTTATTTTATTACATGAAAGTAAAAGTTTTGACGAATGAAAAATGATTCCAAGTGATTAGAAAGCATAAACCGAGCTGGTGCTAAATTGCTTTTAAATCTTCTACGTTTTTTTTTCCGAGGGATTTTGAGGATGTGTTTGACAATTTCATCACGAAACTTTTCCTCATTTTTCATGCTTGATTTCCCGAGTATGACGTGATATATGAATTTCACCATCTAAGATTACGCAATGAAATGAATGTTTCGTTGGAATCGAAATCTCAACAACATCTTATTTCCTTACCTGTTTCTTCTCTCGCTGATTTGTTTATCCCCCACACTAATTTCAATTTTTTCGCTGAATAATAAATGAGCGATAATTAAATGAGAATGCTTCAAGGAAAGGTACTTGAGATTAAAACAACATTAACAATTCAATGAATATTAATGTGGAGAAAGAGAAGCGATGAATTTTCGTTCTTCGAGGGTGAAGCATGTTAACGATGAATATTGTAAGGTAGTCCAAGGAGATAATCGGAAGCCAGGTGAGAGCTATTCAGAAACCTTCTTAACCACATCCCATTCATATGAGCTTTCCCAACATTATCTCTTGAACACTAACTCACCAAAGAAATATCTCTTTAGTTTTTGTTCCACGCATCATAAATTTCCTAAAACTCCTTTTGTGCATGATAATAGAAAAAAAGAAAGTTTTTTACGACAATAATTCTTGCCATTGTTGTGCGAATCGAAGGGAAAAGGGGGAGGAAGGCAAGCAAAATGAAGGCAGAAGATAAACTTTCTGGGCAATTGAATTCTCAGCTTCACTGAGATTACTATTGTGCCATCCTCTAAATATTGACGCAGTAAGAAAAGAGACAAGAAGAATGAAATACGAAGATAATTTTCCAGTAAATATATTTCAAAAGCCTCCCCATGCTTATTCTTACACATGAATGTCTGTCAAATACTGTAACGGAAGGGATTCATTGATGACTAAAAAAGACGACTTGTCTTGATTTGCATGGCAGAAGAAAATCTAAAGCTTAGTGATTTTTGCTTTTCTTTCTTCCGTTTCACAACACAAATAAATAAAGTTTGAAAAGTTGACATTCGAACATACCAAACTACGATAGTGTTGTTGACAGGTTTTGTTACTTATTTTTATGCTTTTCCTTTCCAGCAACTAGCATAAACACTCTGACTCGAGCATCGTAAAAATCGTGAGACGACGCCACTTTGTCTGGTAAACAAGTAAATTCAACCAAAACAGATTCCTTCCATTTCCATATTTGCGTAAATATTTGCATTCCATTTCCAGATTTATTCATGGAGAAATGGCAATTTCGAGCTGAGAAACGAAAAAAAGAAAATAATAATAACAACAGACAGTAAAAATAAATTGGTGATTTCTCACTTGCGCTACTAGAATCTTGCAAAGAAAGCCTAATTTAGATTTTTTTTCTTATTATCCATATTCGCATCAATTTTATCTTTTCGCTCTCAGGCCATCTTTCTTGTAAACAAGATCATTTTTGAAGCCAAATTAGAAGCAAACATCATACAATGTGTGTGCATGGTGACTAGATAGATAATGTTGAGTATTGGGAGATTCCAAATTATTATTCAACAACATGATTTGATGCAAAGAGACATGATAAGAGTGATTAAGTCATAAAGAACATGCTTTGAGTTTAATAATTCAACGATTTAAAATATCTATCTCCTTATTACTTATTTAGTCAGCCTAACTCTGAGTGTAGCTCTATAAAGCAGATTTACGATGACTTTACTTCTATTGTGTTATCCAAGAGATAACAAAATAATACAAAATCATGCGAAACATATCTCCAGTAGCTTTAATTTCTATTCTTATAAAACCTTAGAGAGCTTTCTTTCAATCCTCTGTAGCTTTAATGCTTTCTTCTCTCAACTTTGCTTACTTTTCATATTTATGCGACATTATGAGAAATAAAGATGATTTATGAAATTTTTAAAAGTGAAAGAAAAAAGAGAAATATTTCCTTTTGTTCCTTGCGTTTGTTACACAACCCATGGTTTTATTACCGATTTTACTTTACTTCCGACTTTTGTTTAAATAATGTGATGCAGAGAGAAGCAGAAATGATTTAAGATATTTTACTGTGTTTGCTTTTTATGTCTTTGTTATAAATCTCGCACGGAGAGTTGTGTTCATTGTAAACAAAGCTAGGAAATACATAAATAACAACAGAAAACCTTTGAGTTAACCGATGTTGCAATTGTTGTGATGAATGGAGGCGTAATTTTGGAATTCAAGGCTTTATTAAATGCAATGACATTCCCAACAGTTACATCATTCTTCAAAATGAAAATTCCATTGCGCATTGATCAAATCTGAGTCGAATAAGAATAATCAAGACAAGTCAAGTAATAAAAATATTCTCGCACATAATAAAAAATATATTTTGCTAGGGGAAATATTTTAGGCCATCTGCCGCATTCTACCGTTTCCTATCTTCGTCTCTTGACAGTTCAGCATCCGCAAACATAAAAAAATTTCCATCCTCGTCTCTATTTTCTCCAAACGATTGCAAACATTTGAGGAAAATAAAAGCACCTGCGTTTGTGGTTTCGGTTTCACTAAAGCATTTCTCGAAAATATATAAATTCAGCACAAAATTCAATTTTCTTTTATTATTAAACCTTTCACATCGTTTCATCCAGTGAATGTAATGAGATATATTGAAAACGTTTGAAGAATTTTCTTTTTTTCTTCTGCTTTGAATCACTCGAATTTAAAAAGTAGGTATCTTTGTGTCATCAGGAATAACAGCATCAACAACTCAACAACATTTTCTATTACATTCAAAATCATAAAAAAGAAATCTTTTTTTGAACAGCATTTATTCCTAAATGAACATTAAACTCACATAAAACCAACATTATATGAATCTTCTCTACAAGGACAAATTAGTCAAATTATATTTTGTAGCATCTGTTACGTAATGATGATTGCTCCATTCGATGTTCTCCTTCTAAGGAAGATTCTCGGTATACTCTTAATTTCTTTGTGTGTTTCATGCTTCGTTTATGTCTGTACGATTATACGAATATGGAGTGCACGAATCGTCAGAGATGAGTTAACGAAGGTTATTATCTTTCGTACATTCAAAATTGTATAATATTTGCTCTCCTAAGCCAATTGCTACTTTAAATTGATTAAACGTGCATTTCTTGTTTCATCTTTCTCGTACACATAAACTTCAAGTTATATTTTCTGGATAAAGTTTCCTGAATCTCTCTTGATTGATCATTTTAACTAATAAAATTTTTGTTCGTTTTTCACCGAAATGTTATAACTTTCGATAGTTTCAATAAAAGTTTCCTCCACTTGTCCGAGTCATTTGTCATACTATAAAATATTGTTCGACTTTTGACCTGAAATATTTTCAGTGTTTTCGTTTAGCAGTGAAATGTCAAAAGCTTTATTTATTTCCTTTATCACAATCACACATCAAAAACTAGAAATGGATTCACATTTTCATGCCATCAACGTTCATGATATTTCTGCCTTGAGCAGACTAAAAAGGTTTTTAATTTGATCACGTATGAGTTTTTCACAATGTGAGAAAGGTAAATGTGATTCCACTCTTTCCTTCGCTCTTCATTCCTTTTTTCCTTTCTTTTCTATAACATTCATCTGCGAATAAAAATGTTGGATTCATTATACGTGACAACTTTGTTTCTAACAAACAAAGTTGCACAATGAATCTGGAGTGTAAAATAAAATCTGAGAGCTAAAACTACATTCGAGCTTTAATGCAACATTTCTACCAGATTCGCTAAATAATAATTTTCAAGTGAGTTTCTTCATAAATAAAGAAGAAAACTTTTATAGTTTTACAAAAAAATATGGCTGGAACTTGGACAGCGATTTATGTTTTGTATTTTCAAACGATTAAGCTAGAAAAATCGTTTCATATCATGGAGCACTTTTAAGGGAAAATTAAAAACGAAACTTTTGCCATATTTTTTTATTCTTTTAGTAGTTTGCAACACACGCTAGAAGCCATGAAGCAATAATTTCTTTTGTTCCAAGAGAGTTAACTTTCTCAAGTTATTGTTTTGAAAAACGGAGGGAAAAGTTTTTCATTTTATATTTTTACCGCGCTTTTGAAATATTTGTGCATAAGATGCTGAATAACCAAAACTTTAAATTTTCTTTAAAACTTTTTAGTCTCCTTCGTCGACTGAAAAACATTCTTTATCATTGTTGAACAGGAAAAACAACGTAATTAGAGCACATTAAATGATGGAGAGAGTAAACAATCGATATCTTTAAAACCTTCATCGATCGATGGTGAAATTTCCGAGTTCAATAAAAACAAAGTCGCAAATCAAAATATGCAAAAATTTCCATTTACTGAAGGCGTTTTACATAAAAATGCATTATCATATTCGACCCTTTTGTTTTCTATTGTAAAAGCCCACATGAATCATAAATTTTTTTAATATTGATGTTGATATTCTTCAAAAACTCATAAAAATTCTATCGAGGCTCGTAAAATATTCAATATATCATATTAAAGGAAGGCAAAAGGATTGGAGAAATTTCATTCGAAAATTTTATGTTCCATTAAATGTTTATTCGCTTATAATTTAAAAGAATTTCTTTTGGAGGGTCGCAAATAACAAGTTTATGTACTTTATGTACTTTCATTCTATATACTTTCTGCTAGCTTATGACGCAATAGTTTTTTATCACAAACTTGTTTGTTATCTCGAATTCCACAGACGAAACTTTTATACTCTTAGCGACGCAACAATCTAAAAGCAGTCCATAAACTTTTCATGCTTCTCCAAGCACTTTTGCGAGAGAAAAATAACTCGGTAAAAACATCTTTTTTTATAGTTCGCATCATCCCCCATAATTTCTGCTTACATCTGAAAACGTTATGAAAAGGTGTCGGCACAAATGAAATGGGAGAATTGTCTGGTATTATCATTATTAATGAAGTGAGATGTGCTGACACATCTTTTCACTCCATTTGTAGACAATGGCGTCATTATAATTTCAAGAAACATTTCGGAAAATGTTTTTCTTGATATCATTTTCATTCTTGTCGAATCGTGTTGAAAAGCAGAACATTCACATCGTCTTCAAGACTCTCAAGACAGAAACAGGAAATAAATTCGAAAGAAATGCAGTTGCAGCATTCAACTTAGTCGTCTCATTGCTGAACGTCAGAAAAATTGCGCACATACAGAAGATTGTATAAGAAATTATTAAATTTTCATCGCAAGAACTACACTGGTGTGTTTGAAGCGTTTTCTTGTACTTCGCTATCTCAAGCTTTCCACACCAAATGTTTTTATCATAAATTTTGTGCAAGGAATAGAAATAAATCTTGAATAGAAAAAGAATTGGATGTTTTCAACGCCTTCAATGTATTCGACTTACATGTGCAACTGGGAGGAAAAATCATGCTGAGAATTATGCATTTCAATAGCTTCGACATAAAGTTTTTTTGGTGCATTCAAGGATATCAGAGACTGAACAGGTTCTTCTTTTGATATTTAAATATTCATCGAGATGAAAACATTTTTCCGTCTTGAGTCAAGATGTTTTTAAAACAGAAAATATCTGCTCTTGAATCATCAGCGACGTTTTGAACAAAAACAAAAATGTGTGTAGGTGGCATAGAAAAAAATTGAAAAACATTAAACATCGAATCGCGTGTTCATGTTTATTATATTTGCTAACAACCATCACGAAATTTCATAGAATTTCCAACATCGAATCATTGTTTTCCATTGATGATCGTCATTCGCATGCGTGAGATTAAAGATGCTGTGAACAGAGAATTTTCTCAATTTTCCACTTGTAGTGGTAGAAAAAGAAAATATGAAAATATGAAAATGTTTCTCTTTAATTTTCCACGTCATGAACGACAGAAATTTTCATTTGGCTTCAGTTATTTCTTCAAGTTGAATAAAAATTATGAAGTCGTTGAAAGGCAGACTATTCAAGTTTGTTTGAGAGTTGAGTAGCAAATAAAACCTTAACAACGTTGTCTTATCTACTTTTACAGACTTATTTCTTTTTAAAAAACAGCAGAAAAGATGCTCGCACGCTGGTATGGCAGTCTGAATCAGTTGAAAATAAAAAAAAGTGATTTTCTCCTTGAACTTGAAGAAAATTGATTTCCTTAATGTTTTTTTTTGCTCTCTCTATGCATAATTTATGAGACTCTTCAATGTTTGGATGATTCACTTTATGAAATCACTTTCATCCGTCCTCATATAATTCCTTTGTATCTTTGCTTTTTGCATCAAAAATGAGATCATTGTCGTGCATAAAGATAAAATATAATAAAAATAATAATTTTCTATGAATTTTCATGAAATTGGTTACCATTGTAACAGTTTTCCACATCAGTAAATAAGTTGAATGAATTAAAAATAAATGAAATAGTCGCATTCATCTGCCCATTTTTATAGCTTCAATTGCAATTTTTCTCTTTTCCATTTGAATGTTTAAAAATTTATAAGTTCAGTGATCTGTTAATTATTTTTCGCGATAAAAAATTTGATTTAATAATTTTTTTTCTACTGAAATTTGTAATTAATTTGAAAAATTAAGCGAAATGTGAATTTTTTCCTGAAATATTTATGGAAATTTTTCAACTATGGGATGAGTTTGTACTCAGGTAGCTTTCAAGCATCGTTGTGGATTTTTTTGACCTCCACTAATTCTTGAAATTCTTTTGAAATCAAATTATAATCCAGAATATCTTTTTAACGCTTATACGTAAATTTATGTTATGAATTGTTAAGAACGTGACCCGAAAATAAACCTCCGTCCTCTTGAGATTTATTTAGTATTTTAAACCTTATTGAACAAAAAAATTCTTACCTTGACATCGTAAAATTTGTGAATCTTTCAGTGAAAAATGGAATATTAGCAACTTTCTTGTCCGTCATCTTCAAAGAAAATGTTACACGAATTCTGAATTATGAAAAATAAGAAAAGAGGAAATGAAAGTTGAAATCAGATTAGAAATGTTGAATCAATCTGTAATGACTCCGGATGACAAGAATCTTCTTTTGATATCAATTAGAAATCAAGAAGATTGAAATCGGCAGACGATATGCATGAGATGAATTAATGAGTTTCAAATGAAAGACGTCAAAAGACTTTTGAATTCTCCTCATGAAGCTGTTGCGGTGAATTTACTTAAATTAATCACTCCCGTCTTCTAACTTAGAGAACGACATTTAGACGAAACTCAGCTAATGAGGCTAGGAAGGGGAGTAAAATATCAAACAGAAACTCGACGGCATTTGAAAACTTAAATGGAAAAGTGGGACAAATGTTCCACCTGAACGTCATGAAAGAAGAATAACACGAGGATGGATGTGTCGAATTTGAATATATTTTTATACTTGCTTCATGACGCAATTTCCATTGGAAAAAGATGTGAAAAATCATTTGAGACAATTTAGAGAATCCAAAATCGTTATTTTTCCTACGTTTCAATGTTTTTCGCTTCACATGTTTTCTTATTCTTTAATAATCTTGTCAATCAACTTCGGTCCAAAAGTTTTTTTCTTCTTTTATTTGAGAAAAGTTGAGCGTAAAATGTTTGACTAAATAAATGCGTGAGTGCGTTAAGCTATTAGCTATACAGATATGATTCCGAAACTGTTTTTCAAGGTAGAGTTGACATTAAGGAAATTTATTCAGTGTCTTGAATTTATTTGACCTGATTTCAAATTCTTTGCGATAATATCTATGGAGGGATGTTTTTATATAAAATTACTGACGTCATAAATTCAATGTCCATTATTTCTGTTATTTTAATTAAAAATATTGAGTTAGGAATATTTTTTCATGAAATGACCAAGAGCGAATGAAAATCGCTGATGATAATTATATAAAAATCATGATTCACCTTCCTGAACCCAATATCTACATTAATTGGGTTTATTCGTACATCGATTTTTAAGAGAGATTTATCCAACCAGTCCTCGCAATGATACGGGTTAATACATAAATCCATAATCTTCATTTTGATCGCATGATACAGAAACAGGGATAAAGAGTGAAATTAAAAGTCATTAATCAGCCTCAGTTCATTGAATGAGTAATCGCTTTAATTTACGATAACTTTTATGCTAATGAAAGCTTAAAAATGTAAATAAATGTGAAGATGCCAATGATAAATGACCAGCGACTATTTTATACCCGGCTATGATTGAGGCTTTTAATTAATCTTTGGTTTTAATTTTACAGATTTTTCTGTGAACAGCTTAACTTCAAAACTCGTTAAAGAGTAATCACCAAAAATTATTGTTACATGAAATGGCCTTTGAACAAAAAAAAATTTAACCCAAAACTTCCTAAACATGTTTTTGTGGCTTTACAATTTAAATTTCTCTGAGAATCACATTTGAAGACGAATGTAAGAAAATAAAAACTTGTAGTAATCTTTTAATATGCAATCATTAAGACCGTCTAAACTGGGAAGCTTGCCAAAAGAAATAGAATTTCTTTTTCTTGTCGAAGTTCAAAAAAGTCACTTGCCAAGTTTATATTTTTGTGTGCAGCAAATGGCCAAACATCAAAACATGCATGTCAAACAAGTGTACAAAGCTGTCCACATAAAAATGCTTTGATTACTTTTTGGGTACCAGACAGGGTTAGGCAACATTTTCATTCAATAATTCAAGTGAAGAACTGTTCAAATTAATCTCATTTCTTACAAATTTCTTTTCATTTTCAATCTCTGAGTTTTAGTTTTCATTACCTACTTATAAATAAAACGAGAACTTCTTCGAATAAGTTGAGATTCATCATTTCTAAGAACATAATAAACTTCTAAAGGCAACATAAAGCGATTCTAGTATTAGCAAGTTGTTAATTTATTTTAAATCCTTTCATGCTTTGTTGCTTTAAAGAGTGCGTAGCAACAACTTTTAGATTTTCGTTTATAAATTGCATGTTTTCATGAGAACTGCTTGAAGCATGTTCAATATGATTTTGACCACTCATTGGTAAGCAAAAATTATAATTAGATATGAAAATCAAAGCTTTAGCTTCAGGCACTTCAATGAAATTATAATTCGATAGATAATTATTATATAATTGGATGCTTTGCTTTGTCATAATAAATAAAATTTATAAGGAATTTGATGAAATGTAACTTGGAAACAAGATGAAGTTGTCAAGGTGCCATCATGTACAATTTTTTACTTGTCAATTTCAATATTTAAGATTTTTCTTTTAAAAAATTCCTGACAGAAATTGAAAATGACATCAATTTAGTCTTGAATTCATAAAGTCAAATTGTTTCCAAATAAATCTCAAAGTTTTGTCGATGATATTGTCATTAATACTTGCAATGTCTAATAAGATGACGTGAATATAATTAAGCTCTTAATGAAAGTATTTTGCTTGATTGTCAATGACAGGAAAGCTATAATAAGCATTTATAAAAAAATGAATTAACTGTTAGAACATCGTAGAAGAGAGAAATTAGATACATCAAAGAATTATTTTTTTTCATAATTTTCCAATTAATATTCGAAAAGCACAGACAATAAATTCTCTTGAAACAATCACAGCATAAAGCGCTGAAGAATGAAAATTAACATTATTTATGATGCTCTACAGAAATCTATTGTCCAATTTTGTTTTTTCATGACTACAGCATTTAATGTTGAGCATCGTCGGATGTCTGAGCATTCTACTGTAGGCAACTATAGTTGATTAATTTTGTTCGTGGATGGTTGTGAATAACATCTCACACATAACATTCAATTTATTCAGATCCCTGAATAAAAAAAATCACTACACGCATCAGTGCACAAAGTACACAAATGGTTTAATGATTTATATGTTCAAATGAGAATGGTTAATGAATGTAACATTCTTCGTAGCCGTAAATAGCCTTCGAAGGCAAGGTATGAATGTAAAAACAGAAACATTTTCGCTCAGAATATGAAAGGTTAATGCTTTGGTCAAACATGGATATTGAGGATTTCTTCCAACTCACTTTTTTCTCTTCTTTTTAACAAAAAGCTTCCATATAAATGTTTGTACACTTAATTAAACATATGGGTCATGCTATAACACAAAAAGCTGCCATGAACATCAAGGTTATTGATATGACTATGATAGGTATGAGAATATTCGCATCTGAACCAAAACAAACACTTAACGGTGTAGAGAAATGCTTGAGAATTTAGAAGATGTTTGGGTAATTTGTTAAGTGTTAACCCGAATTTATCTACTTTGTGGCTGCTTTTGCTTTGAGCTTTTCTTTTTTCAAGAATATAAGTCTCGAATCCATTACGAAAGGTGGGAAAAGCAAAGAATCTAACTCGAGATGTGTTTCTAACAATATCTTTATACAAAGTTCCCCTCAAACATTTATAATTCATCAGAAGATCTCACAAAAGCTATTGTCAACTTTCTGTCTCCTTTTTTTTCCAGAAGATTTCTGGATTATAGGTAATTTATGCAAATCTGTCCTTTTCTAAGAATAGAATAAGTAAAGTGATGAATCGGAAAAATGGCGCAAAACTCTTACAACTGCACAAAATTTATCTTTGAATGGTTGTTAAAAAAATGTAAAAGGAAAACATACAAAAATATTCACTGAATTGAAATCATAAATGCTGATTAATTTTTTTTCCCTTTTCTTTCTTATGCAATGATTTAAAGGAAGGTTGAAAGGCAACATTACATTAATTTCTTTTCTTTACATTGTGGTAAATCCAGATTCATGAAAATGAATTTACATTATGATTGTTTATTTGATAAACAGAAACAGCAAAAGCGCAAATTTGAGACGTGAAATCGTAAATTTCCACATCAACATACTTACGACTTGCGAGGATTGTTATTGGATGGAAACACAATCTTGAAAAAAGAAATCGAAACATGTTTCGCGAGGTGTCGTGTTCTAAATTTGTTCATTGATCCTTGAATGTTCCACGATAATGGAAAATATGAAATGAAATGTGAGTTCTTTCTTTAGCAATCATGGATCGTCGAAATCAAAAATAATAAAAACAATTCTGAATACATCTCCTCAACATTTTGATTCTATTTTTATTTTTTCCATCAATTTTCACCCTCTTTTATGAATAAAACAATTCAATGAAAGCAACACGAATGGGAGTAGGGGATGATAGAAGTAAAACAGGTGAATTGATATTCAATGGAAAAATTCGTTTTATTTATGAAACAATATGGATTGCTTTGAGAGTTCAAATTCGTAAAAGCATTCATGACTACAACACAAGTTCATGGAACAAAATGTTTTATTGTTAACGAAAGTAGAAGAAAGCAATTCCTTTGGCACTGTTTTCATTCTTACTATAAGTGAAGGAATGAGAAACAAATTGAAAGCAATAAAACATTTTCCCACAAAAAATAATAAGAATGATAGATTCTGAATGTTATAATTTTCTCATTTAAACTTTCATCTCTTCATTACTCGTGCTTTCGATAAAAGTTGATAACACATAATAAAAAACAATTGTAAAACTCATTTTGTAACATTAATCTCACCTCTTCATTAATAATATCTCGTTTTATAGCTTCATAATCAAGATTTATATCTCCAATTATTTCAAACCTTAAGCACGTGAAAGCTACAATTCGGGAAATGATTTCGTAATAGATTTTCTAAATCTTAGCATTGTATTCAGTGCTCTCGTTTATTAAGGAATGAAAACGATTCAATCGGGATTTTCAATTCTAACAAAATGTCGTCGTTGGTTCTTGTTCACATGATTTAATTCTTTTTATATCTTCAGAGTTAACATTTGTGCAAAGAACAAAATCTCTTAAAGTTCTTGATTTATTTTAAGCTTCCTGATAAGCATTTATAAAAGAAAAGTTTTCAACTTTTTATTTCGAATGGAGAATAAAACAACAGGAAATCTTTCGTGAGAAAATTTGCTTCCTGTTTGTTTCATTTTACTTTTCAGAAATTTTTCTTTGTTCCATTTTGCTTCATTGATAGAATGAGCACAAATGAATTCCTGAATTCTAGAAAAAGTCGTTTACAACAGTGACTTATGTTTTTTTCTTACCATCCAAGCTTCTTACAGTAAATTGATATAAATTTTGTTAAATCTTAGCAGACAGTTTTCTTTGCAAGATTCTTGATACACTTAATGTTCTCTTAAAGAGATTCAGAAGGGAAAAAATCATTTCGGAATTATTTGTTGTTGAAAATAATGATGATATCAGCGGAACCAGAAAACTTCCGATGGAAGGAAGGAAAAATTAAAAGAAACGAGAAAGGTTTGAATCTGTAATAACTTTTAATGCTCCAAAGAATCATTCATAAGTCAGCTATTTAAAGGTTGATGTCAGAAGAATTTTATAAATTATAGAAACGTTTTTGAATGTAAACACGAAAAGTCAAGAAAAATATGAAATTGTGTGTGATTAATTGTTAGAGAAACTTTGCTTACGGTGACAACAAAATGCAATTATCATTGAAATGCATTTTTCTCATGACAGGAAACTCACGAGATATTATAAAAAGTTGTTGAATGTCCCAAGTGTTTAAAAATGTAAGGTAACAGATGGTGGATTCTATCGTTACTCTTATAAGGTTTTTAAAACTTCAAAACTGAATATTGTTTCAACCACTCGTTTAAAGCGTTCTCGAATTTAACACGAACCATGTTTTTGAGTATGAGTGAATGGTTCAGTGACACTGATCGCTACCAAGCAAGATCAAATGAATACAAACATTTACTTTTTTTTTGAAATATTTGAAGTTTGCGATCCTCTCACGACATATTGCAGATAAAAATGATTAAATTTTGTTTGAATTTGGATATAAATTTTATTTTTAAATAAAAAACCTAATTATTAGGTTAAAACCTAATAATTTTTAACAATTTTGCAGTTGTTTCTAAAACATAGAAAAATATAAAACATTGAACAATTTACTGCTTGAATTACAATCATCTTCGATTTTACTTAGTGCACCAATTTTTATTTTCCTTACACTTTGAAATAAACCATTTCTTCAAAATTTTATTACGTTCTGATAATTGAAATTGGTCTGTCGTTGGTAAATTTTCAGTATTCGGAAAAATTCTCGTAAAGCCTCCTCGATTGTTATGTTCCTGGAACGATTGATGCATTTGCTGGAGATCTTCTTGAGCTACACAAGGCAAACAAGTTTCACATCCTTTCGCTTCACATTTGTTTTTACAATCGTTCTTTACGCATTGTTTAGCATCGACAGCTATATTTTTGTAATTTGATATCATGTCACTTGATTGTTTGTTATATCTGTAAATGCAATAAATCATTTTAATTTTATAATCATCATTCTATTCAAAACATTCATCGACCTCGACATTAAATCCATATTACTTCCAATTCCAACAAGTTTCACAGTGTTATAAACTATTTGCTGATACATAAGGGTATAACTTTCATATTTTTCATTCATTGGAGTCATACTCGGACTTTGGTTAACTTCCATGAGATACAATTTTAAGTTTTCATCGAGAATAAAGTCATATCTGACAAGCTCAAAGTAATTGCGCTTCGAGCCATATTTTTTTATCTGTAAAATATTTTAAATTTATGAATATGAACGACAGCAATATTGACATTGAATACTTCTCTAAGGAAAATTTTCTCACTGCTTAGCAACAAAGTCACGATTGCATCCTCAATGCTTTTCCAAAAATCTTCTACGCTAAATCCTTTTTCTTCAAGAATAGCTTCAAACGCTAGCTTTGCAGAGAACTCGTATTTGTCACAATATTTTCTGATTGAAGGTGCATCTAAGAAATCTAAATGAGTATCATCAATTACAAACTTCATTCTATTCTTAGGATCGAAAGGATAAAAGGGTTCTGGACAGAACCTCATCAAAACATCATTGTTGTAACGATAAACTCTCAAAGGATCGATTGAAGTTATCACAACATACACACCAATATCAAACATCCGTTCATCAATCAACAATGGTTTACTCATGAATTCTTGGACAAATTTAATTTCAGAATTATTTTTAACATCTTTAGGATCAATCATACGAACACCACGATTGGACATGTTCTTTGTAATCATTTGTTTCGTAGGATTTTTTTCCACGTAGGCTTTAAACTTATCCCACATACTCTCCAACCAGAAAGATGGAAGAACGAAACTCAATTTTTCGTTGTGTGTCGTCATATAAACTTTGTTTGTTATTGAAAATGCTCCTGGAAAATGATTGATTCTTTGATGTGGCTTAAGTTCCATGAATATTGGATCAAACTCTTTCGCTACATTCTTTTGAAAGGGAAATTCAACACTCCAAAGGAAATCCCAATCATCTCCTTGTGAAGCATTGACAAACTCGTAGCCCAATCGCTCAAAAATTCGATCCATCGAACGCAAATTTCCCATTACATTCCATTTATTAATACAAATTTGCCAATATTTTAATGTTTTAGTTTTAAGTTCTTTTTTAAGTTCTGTTTTAAATTCTGGTTGAGGGACATCATTTGCTTTAATATGTTCACTGATCATGTCACTGTTGTTTTTGTATATGATTTTTATTTCCACATTGTTTATTTCATCCGATGTTAGAAAAAATGTGATGATAGCAGTTTGAATAACAATCAGCCCTTGAAGTAAAAATCTTGATATTTGGACCATTTTTCTTGAAACCTCCACTCGAATTGAAACCACTTTTAGTTATGAATACAGCTTTTCGAATAAAAACTATAGTTGGTTGAGAATGATATCAAATTATATAATTTTTATATGAGTGTTGAAGTTTTTGATGTCTGTGAGTTCAGCCTGTTTCATGACTCCAGAAACAGTTCATTTTTTGGAAAAAACACTTTTAAATACGTGAATATGCATATACAGTGGAGCTTCGATAAGCTGATATCTCAAGGGGGACAAAAAAATATCAGCTTATCAAGGATATTATTTTATCGAGGCATCAGCTTATCGAAGTTCCACTGTATCTAACAAATATACAAAAATAAGATAATAATTACTATTTATTTAGTTAATAAGAATATTTGTAATAAGAACGACTGAATATGAGTAATTAAGAAATAAACGAATGGCGTTCAGTAGTTGGCTTGAAAAACAGTTCATGAATATTCATTATCTTGAATTTGACAAAACTTGTTGGTTGAGTAAATGAATAATTTTCAATATGTTGTGATTTTTTGTTCAAATCAAACTATCATGTTAATTGTCATTAATGTACATTTTAGAATAATAAAATGAAATAAGTTTTAATTTAAAACTTAAGACTGGACGCTATTCGTTTATTCCTTAGTTAACAAGAATATATGATATGTTTCTTGTAGCTTATCAGATGGTCGCATTCTCTACTCGTTAATAATTAAACCAAATATATTTCAGTTCGCTTCTATTGATTGAACATATTTTTGGGATATTAACGGTGGGTCTTATGAAATCTTTTTTCTTAGCTAATCGAAAATTTTTATTTTCGAGTTAAAATATCAAGCAAATTTGAAACCTTCAGAGGTGTTGGAAAGTTTCTTGAAATCAATATGGAAAAGATTACATCCCAATGTAAAAGACCTTATTTAAGAAGGTTTATATAAAAAAAGTTGGCTCAGAAACTTCAATTTTCAAGATAAAAAAGTTTCATAAGATGTACCATAAGTAAATATAAAAACGATAAAATTGCAGACATTTGATTATTCATCAATAATTATTTATTATTTGGCTTGGAGCACCAATATTATTGAGCATAATGCAAACACAGATGAAATTGACGGTTCACTTCCGAATATTGAACTTTTAATTGCACAGTTTTTTATCTTTAGACTTCAAGGTTTAATAAAAATGCATTCCTTCACCTTGAACTGAGTTATAGAGTTCAAATCAAGGAAAGCATGAGAAAACGCATGGAAAACTTAGAAATATCACGAAAAATCATTTTCCAAATCTAACGCAGATTACACCAGATGCAGAATACCATAAACTTTTTCTTTTAATTTTAATAACAGCTTGTCGAGAGGATCAGCTTACATGTAATTTATTACAAGAGGTAAGCTGTGGTTTAAGTTTAGTATTAGGGTGAACAAAATCCAGGTTGCTGCTAAAATGTTTATAAAGTGTAAGTTATAAAAAGCGATTACGAAAAAAAGAGAGTTGAACCATTTAATCCTTGGAATATCGCAGACAACATTGAAATGAGAAATGAAATTGCAATTCCGCTGAAGAAAGCAAATAAGTTCGTAATTAGTTTTAATATTTTAAACAGCATCGTCAATCTTCTCTCCTTCAATGATGTTTGAAGTATTTTTTCTGAGATGATTCAAAAGCTTTTGTCAACTTCCATCACTGAACAGCTTTTCCTCAACGAGAAAGAATGAAAAAAAAAACTTTTCTCTTATTTTTTCAACTGGAAATAAAAACTCATTTCTTACGGTACAATTATGCTAAGTAATTAATAGCATGACTTCAAAGTTTTCTCGTTCTGAATCCCATAAAAGTCCAATTTGACCCTTTTCTTGAGCTAAACATTTGAAGAAAAAGAACTCAAAACAAAAACTTTATAATTTTTGGTTTATAAATTTGCTTTTCTTTTTCTTTCAAGATTATTCCTTAAATTCAATATCGAGTGCTTCTCCTAGTTTGTAAATGCTCTAAGATGTAGTAAAAGAAATCCGAAGAGTTTAATTCTTGCTATGTAATAAAACAATGGAAATTAAAAAAAGGAAAAAAGAAAAAATTGTTGAAAGCGTGGGTGAAGTCTGAAGTAAAGTATAAAGCATGGGGAAATACGAAAATAAACAAAGGAAATTCCGGCTTCAAGTGTTTGCTCAATCCTTTGCCAACTTCCATAAAAACAATTTCATTAAGTTTAATTCATTGTTTATCTCATGGAAAATCTTGTTTAGAGACTCGAATGATCTGAAATATGTCCCGCTGCTATTAGCATAGATCCTCTGTTCAATATCATCGATAAGGATGGAGTAATCCTATTTTTAACAAGAGTAAATATTTATTTTTAATTTCCATTAAATGTATTAAGATGTATCATGGTGAACTCAGGGAGTTTATCATTAGAATGCAATCTCCATAGAGATCAATATCAACATAGACAGAACCCATAATAAGTTCAGTAAAATCAATCTCGAAGGCATAAGTAAACATAATTTTGATAACATTTCTAACGACAAACAAATAATGAGCATCATCAAAGATTTTTAACATTTGAATTTACTTTGCTTTGCGACAATTTAAAATTGCTGCAGTTATGAAAAGCTTATCGTGTGTACATGCATACATGTTTATGTCAGATGGTTCGTGTACATGCTCTCAAAACCAAACAAACAAATTATAAATTGAGTCGTACATATGTTCATCATGATAAAAACTTTGCTCATCTACATATGTTTGCTTCACCCCCTCATTCACATCATGAGTTTTATGCTGATGATGATGATAAAAACAATATCGCAAAATTTAAAGTGCTTCTGCAAATGAATTATCATTTTCATGTTTTAATTATGAGCCATAATTATTTTGGTATTTTTGCTGATGATGCACTAAGCAATAAGCTGCTGAAAAAACATGCAGATAGTAATGAAATCGAATAAAAGTTGTAAAAACTTTTTACGCCATTAACTTTTTTAATCATAAAATATTTATTTCATTTCATTTTTTTAAAAGTCATTCTATTCAAATATTTTATTTCATTTTTTTATGAATTTGTACTAGAAGCGGAACCGTGACCTAGAGAAATTTATGCTACGTAAAAATGAATGGAAACTTTTTCTTTCTATTCATGCATAAACTGTTTGAATTGAAATTCAATTGAAATAGATTTTTTTAAATAAAGTTTAAAATGAAGACTTATAGCAGTGGGAGCATAAAATATGAAAATATCATTTAAAACTCAGGAGAGTTTTTAATTAAAGTTCTGAAATTACAGTGGAGATTCGTATGGCTTCATTTCATGCTTCGAAAGTTTTAAATGTAATGTATCCATTAAGCTCTAATTCATACGAAAGCTCTGCTAGTTAATTTTAATCGTTATGAAACGCCATTAAACTACATAAAGCTCTTATCGGTTGGGCGTCACATTGAATCCTTTTGAACACAATGAAATGACTCTCAGGGATATTTTACACAGAAAATTTTGCAATCACAGCTCAATTAATAATTATTCATTTTTAATAACATTTTTTCTCTTCTTACCATCGAGCAAGTTTCTGCTTTAATTTAAATAACAATATTTTAAACATATTTCATTATTATGCATGTTTCGTTTGTAATTAAATTGTTGAATAAATCATATAAATTCTCATAATTCAATATAGGTTTTAATTCGAATATCGATAATTACATTTCTCAACATATGCTCGTGAGTTTCACTCAATCATCAGAACAAGGGAAAATGAGTGAAGGAAAAAATGGAAAACTAATGATCTTGTTATTGATGAGAAGATGAAGAGAACGATTCGAATCGGGTTTTGATTATGCCAATCAATTCGTTGAATAGAAAAATCTTAGCGCTTAACGTTGGTGAAAATCGATAAATTTATCTGCCCCAACAATTATCTCGGGCGAATCTGAAAGCTTGAATGAATGAGCAGCTCAACCCTGGTTGTTCAAAACTATAACGACCGAACACTAATTGCATTTTTTCTGCTGGCATTGTGAAAAGCGATGGAAATTTATGTTCCTTAATTATCCATTTAATATGCGTTTCATGTGCTCAACTCTCCATGGATAATTGCTGTTGTGGATTGATTGGGCATGGATGAAGCAAAAATGAAAGAAAAAAAAATCCTTTTTTATTCATGCACAATCAAAAATCGATTGAGTGCTATGGCAATGCAACACATTTTCGATTCTAACATATTGTTACACCTTCATAAATGTTTTATGAATAATGACTGTTAGTTGTTCAGTTTAATATTTCGCTTGAATCGCAAATATATTTCTAATTGCATGTGAAAAACGATAAAGAGATTTTCATAAAGGTATACATTTTGTGGATATTTGTTAGTCCTTTAGATTAGCCAACACATGTGCCATGTAAAGTGAGAATTAATAAATATTAAATGCTGTTTAAATTGCATGAACAAAAGAGTTTCGCCAAAGTGCAATCAATTTTTAATAAAGTTTTTTGTGAGAAGGATTTCGAGTTATTGTTCCTAAATGAAATTCAATTGATGTTGAAATTTTAGTTGTGACAATTTATGAATTTCTCAGTGTTGTTAAACAAAATGAAAGAATCTTTTTCAATTCTCTGCATTTTAATGATTTTGATTTGCTGTTTGGTGATGAGTTTGTATTACAAACTTTGTAATTTCTTTCTTAACTGTAATCGAAGCTCACGTAGAAGAAACCTGAAACAAAACGAGTAACAATTGAGTGGCAAGTGAATGAATTACTTTTCTGAGATAAAATTAGTCAGTGTCGATTACAAGGAAGAAATTTGTAAGAAAATCGCCAGGATATCGAATTATTAAGATCTTTATTTAATTTCTCGACATTTTCCTGGAAGCTTTTTGTCTTGATTAACTTTGAATGATTTCTATTGAATTGAATAGCGGAGATCGGAAAGAGAAGAGTTTGGAACAAAATGAATAAAACTAGTTAAACTAATCATTAATTCGTTCCTCTAAGCTATAAAAACTTTCAACTCATCCGACAAATCAATCAGTTGTTGGAATTTTTTATAATTGCACTACATTGATCGTTGTTATGGAAGCGGAACAGATTTTTTCTGTAGCATAAGATAGGAAATTGTTTGATATTCAATTATCTATTCATACAAATTGCATTTCCTTGTTTCGACTTTAATCATTATTTTTTAATGATGTACAATTCGATTTCTATTTTCGCGGAAAAGAAAAAGAAGCAACTTGAAAAATTTATTACTTCAAGCTTAAAAGCTCTCAATTAATTTCAAAAAGCATTTCATTTTTCTTACATATACCTCGAGTTGTATTCAATCTACGATAAATAATAATTTTACCTTGTGCTTTAGAATTGGATCGAGAAAACAGAAGAAAGACAAAATGCATCGAAGCGAGAAATTATGGAATGTAATTTGTTAACTTCATTCTTTACCTTCTTTCATTTTTCTTTCAGCTTCGAGGCGATCTCAATACTCGACTAACACTCACACATGCTTGAATTGAGATAAATCTTTCTCAATATTTTTCCCTGATGATATATTGAAGATAAAATTATTCTCATTTCCTGGAAACACACAAACCCAACCGTTTGTTGAAGACAAATCGATAAAAGAATGACGACGACAAAAAATGAAGAAAAGGAACGAAAACTTTTCAAAGTCTAAAGTTCCTTGAGAATGTTTTCTATCTCGAATAAAACTGATGTTGTCGGTGATGAAGGATGAAGGTGGATGTATTGATGAATAAGCACAGCAGATTGTTTGAAACTTTAAAGAAGAAAAATGTCGACGTCGACATCGTCGCTTTATTAACTGATAAACTTCATAGATATGTTTGTAGCTTCATTGCCGCCTTTCTCGAATTTCCAAAATAAAAATATTTACAACAATAAATTTCAAACCCTAAACTTAAAGTCGGAATCCTTTAAATTCGCTTCAATCCATTTCTCAATCTTTTGAGACATTTCACTTGTCAATTCGCTATTCTTCTCTGTGCTGCCAAGGCGAACGAATCCTTGAGCGCCCGTTGCAAGAACTTTCACATCTATTAAATCTTTTCCGTTAAGGGCAGGATTATTCTTAAAATTTTGAATGCTGAGATGATCTAGCAGTTTTGGTAAATGTTCTTCTTTTAGCGGCTTCCCCAGGAAACAGGCAAGCTGCTTCAGAGAACTTTCCAAATCTTTGATCAAATCTTCGTAGAAAAGAAATAAAACATTTTCGTCATGACGATGACTCCAAGCATCCTTAATGTGTTCGAAGTAAGGGCTCCAATGTACTGTAAGAATGGAAATGAGAAAGGAAAAAGACGACAGTTTTAAATTTCCCGATGAAGCATGCAAAATAAAAAATAAAAAATATAAAATGGAAAATGGTTGAAAGCTCACATAAATCTTTAGTAAAATATTCAAAGAATGTATTGAAATCGTTGACATATCCTTGCGTTCGATACAATTTATTGAGATGATAATATGAAACCACGACGTCTTTTGGATGTCTCGCTACATAAACGACTTTGGCGCGCTTTTCCATTATACTCGGTGGCAGCAGCTTAAAGGGTAAATGCGTCTTGACGAATCTTTGTTGTGTCATTTCAGGCAGAAACTTATAACCCGGCACGGAAATCTTTTCAATGAAATCTTTCTTCCATTCCTCTTCATTCTCTTCCAAAAACTTTGCTTTCATTTGGTCATGCATATAAAGATGGAATCTGAAATAGATTAAGCATTTGTATCAGCTGCATGTTATGTTTGTTTTGTATTTAATCCAAACGTGACAAATGAGATAAGTCAGGTTGAATTGAGATACTGAATCGTGTCATGTACGAGCGATGAGACACCGTAGAGTTATGCTTACTCACTCAAAAAATGGAAAACGTTCATTTAGTGTTATCTTTTGTGCTTTCTCATAGTCCAAATCATTGCAGATTAGCCATATCATCTCCTGGGTCCATGTTGTACCTGAACGTGGATATGTACAAATGAAGACGTCATTCGAACGTGCCTCAAAATTATAAATTTCGTTTGCACAGTGTCGAAATTTATCCGGTAGAAACCATTTTTCTGGTCCAATTTGAACGTAACCGGTGGGCTGACCTGTTGTTCGAAAGTAATCAATTACACATTTAAAACTTGTGACTATGAATGAATGAATGAATGAATGAAGCAATTTAAAATGATGAAGAAAAAAAACTTTCATTTCATGTCTGGTGACGTTTCTTTTCTTTTTCGTTTCATATTTTCGCTTTTATTCATTCCGAAAACATCAACATCCACAAAAAAAGTTTTTTGAACTTGTTGTAGAATAATTTCATGAGCCATGCTTTATTTACCATGGAAATCTTTTATGAATTGTTCTCTGACGTCTTCTTCAGCTTCCGTGATTTCGTAAGGAAATTTATTTTCACCTTTATTATTATTAAACTCCATTGTCAAGGTTTCACGCGCAGATCTTTCACTAAAATGTGGGAACACGATATATTTTTAATAAAATTTCTCTATAGAAACTTGACGTTCTAAGCAGCTTTCAGCAAACACTTGATAGCTTCTGTACCTACACTTAAAGCGAAGTCGTTTAATGAAAAAAAAATATTGAGCGTAAATCAACTGACAGGCGAGCGAGTTTTAAGTTGAACTTATACTGATATTGACTGACAACAAACTGATTTTCTTTAAAAATCTCTCTGATTATTATTCAATACTGTTTAAACTTTCTTGGACTTGTGTGGTTCATACATACATAAAAGTAAAAATGTTCACAATTTAAAGTTAGGCAATTCCGGTTTTTTTTTCGTAATGGTTTATTATTTTAAAATGCAAATGTAACTGTATTGAATGTAAATATCTACTACACATCAATCCTCTTAGTCATTTTTCTTGAAATAATTTGATTTTAATTGTAGAAAGTAAAAAAATTGTCAAAGTGTGCGTCGGTTGTTGTTATCTTGCTTCTGATGGAACGTGAACATGATTTATTAATCGGTTTTTCAATGAAATATTTTTGACAATTAATCCTTGACCGTAAACCCTTAAATATCAAAAGACGATTAAGAAAGATTGTAGAAAAGTTTTGAAGCATGTATTAAAGCTAAGTGAAGAATATTTAAACATGACGATGCATGTGAAAAATTAAAAAAATATAATTAAAAAAAAAATCAATAATTTTTTGTTTAAGCACGTTTAAAGCTGACATTTTTGTTCCATTTATGATGATGGTGAATAATTGTCCGGAAATGAAAAATGAACATTTTGCAAGGAAATTTCATTGCGAGATTTAAATTAAATATTGCGTAAGTAATTTATAAACGTAAATGTTTGGGCTGTACTCATGATATCTCATTTCTTTAGCTTGATCTTTCGTAACAATGAAACTTCTTAATTTATTCTTTTCATAATGATGGGTTATTTACAATCTAATCATTAATATAAAAGTTCCACAGAGTTTTCTTTTTCTCACAATTGCTTTCAAACATTCACGCTGGGACCCAACAATCTCGCTAATTACGCACCAGTAAAATTTGCATAAATTTATCACACCGTTTCATTTTGAAGAGCCTTCTTTTCTCACTAAGAGAAGTAAGATAATTCTTGTAATGATAGGAGCTGTAAAAAATCCAATCTCCTTAGAAGCAAGCACCGTTCTAAAAATGACACATAAAATGATTCCGGCTGAAAAATTGTCTCAATTTCGCAACAGCAAAATTCGTCTCCCTTCTTGATGATAAAGTAATTTTTCTGTCTGTCTCTCTCTCTCACTCTTTGTCTCTATCTCTTTCTTCTTAAAATATTTTCTTCTTATCAGTCGTCTCAGATTGACAAAAAACATCCAAGATAAAGAAATAAACAAAAGTGAGGGAAAAGAAATTGAAACCAGCGAACAAAACAAGAAGAAGCGTTGTTTATATCAACAAAAGTTTTATTATCCTATCAAGAATATGACAAGTTTGTGATGTTTCCATTTTTTTATCGTCAACTGTCGCTTTTCCTAATCTAGGTGAGTGAAGTATTAAAGGATATTAAAGTAAAAAGAATAAAAGAGAACTAACGCGACAAAAGGTTGATTGTCAAGCTGAGAATGAAATAGTCAAGATAAGTTCAACTTCCAACACGAGAACAGTTTATTCTGCCAATGACAATTATAAAAAGTCGAAGTCAACACGAAAACATAAAATTTATAAAAAATCCAAACGCTTTTGAAATGTCAATAGAGAAGACGAGGAAAGCTCACTCTCTTGTCAAATCTTGATGAGATAGACAGAAATCAAATTAACCGATAGCATCTGAAAACCTCACAAATTACCTTCGATACGAATGTCAACGAATCAATAAACTGATATCTCACTTCAGTGCCGTTGGCAGCCGTCGAGTGCGAGGAAGAGAAAAGAAATATTGCCAATGTAATCGAATTATGCCTTGCAAAGATTTGTCAGCAAATATGAATTGCGTATTATTGATCAATTGATCAAATAAGGGTGACATTCCGATAATCTGATAAAGCAATTAAGGGTGATTTGGTTGCGTTCGATTGAAAACCTCGGAATCGAATGATGGAAGCCATTCATTTGCTTCGAAAATTGCTTTCATCACCAATTTTCGTTTCAATAGCTCCAATTAATTTATTTTGAAAGCATCAGAAGTTTCCCTACCTTCGTAGTGCAGCAGTTTGTAAAGAAGAAATTTAATAAGTTTTTAAAACTTTCTTCTTATTCTCAACATTCTTCATATCGCATCTCTTACAAAGCATCTTTTGAAATTTCTTTTTATTCTTTTCTATCTTTTCATTTTATTTAAGGAATCTTGCATTAAAGTTTCTGCGCAATTAAATTTTCAGCATCATTGCAATTTTCTGTTGTTCATATTATCTCGTCACTTCTATGCTTCAGCTTAAACATTTTCATTGTGAAAGATAAAGAAAAATTTTACGGTAAATAAAATTTGAAGCTCTTACATCACATGACTTTTGCTGGCAAAGCATTGGCTTTGTTCGGAAGCCTTTGAGAAATAAATTAAATATTAGGTATTTTCAAGCTTCAATGGTTAGTTTTATGATTTCATTGATTTTGATCATCCTTTAATGTGTTTGTAAGGCAGGTCTTTTGATAAGTTTCTGACACTCTAACTGTCGAAGAAATTGTACGAAAATAGCTTAAAGGGTTTGCCCAAAGGGTCTTCGATCCTTTGATCAAGTAGAGGACTCATGATTGTGACATAAATATCTGAACATTCTCATGTTATGAACATTTACGTAACTCAATCCTTTATATTGCTAAATTCCTTCGACCTTTGATGGAGAAAATATGCAAGATAATAAATTTTGAGTTCTTTCTTATTTTAAATATGAAAATAAGTATGTGGGATATCTAAACATAATAAAAACATAATTCAAATTCAACTTGAAAATCTGTGGTGCTTACTTACATCTAGTTTGTTTATTTTCACGCTTTATTAAATATGCTTGTTCATCAAGAATGTTTGTAAAGGTTCTCATTTGACTCTTTTTCTCTTAATTTAGATTCATGGAAATTCTTAAAATAATTTCAATTATTTTCGAAATTGATTCACTGTTGGAAAATATTCACATTTAATTTTACATACAAATATGCACGTTTTTGAAAAGCAGAGAAAATTGATTTTGCTAGCTCAGCATTTCATTTGATTTTACTTACTCTGGCAGATAGTTTAAATTCAAATGAATTGAGAATCTGAATGTGAACGTCATTGTGCAGTGTCAGGGAAAACACAAAATTCTGTGGAAACTTGAGCAAAATTAACAAAGCATTGTGTCAAGAGGAATGTGAAATTTTATGATTTTTACAACCCCATGAGATGATGTTGAGGAAGAATTGATAATTTCATATAAAATATGCAGTAATTTTGATGCTGTTTAATGTTCCCCAATCTCTTATGCTCGAGCAACAAGCATCATCGAAAAAAGAAAATAAAATAAAATGTTCAACACTATAAAGCTCAATAAATAATGAACACAATAAAAGCTCCACTTGTTGGATATCATGAAGATGGTGGATCCCATTATGATGTAGAGAATTTTTTTTGCATTGCACCTCAAGTTTCATTATTATCTCAACTGTAGGATGAGAAATAATTTGTTTTACTAGACAACTGTCTGCCAACTTTTGTTTCTTCTTCGAACAGAGTTTTTGGTTTCATAATCTGTCATGAGCAATAATTCTCAAGCACAAAAGTTTAACATGCAATTTTCGTGGCGAAAAAAGAAGAACACTGTTCTGACGTGAAAAGTCATGAGTTTTCCTTTCCGTTTTCCATTTTTTGACCTGATTGTCTGCTTGAATAAACAATTTCGTGTTGTTTTCTTAGAGTAACAAAATTTCATGGTAAACAAGAACGGAAACTTTGATATTTTGAAAAGTATCTTTTGTAGATATTTACATTTTGTGTGTGTATTTGTGTATATGTTTATCTGATGGAAATATTTTGAAGATGCCACGAATGGAAACACTTCTGCCATATGCGAACAGATATAAAAATCTCCGTAATGGACTTTTTAGCACTTTCTTAAAACAATGAGAAGCTGTAAATGTTCGCTCCCTTATCGTGATTTTTACATTCTGATAACATTCTTCTCCGGTCGCTATAAACCATTAAGCTTGGTATAATAAGGAAGGAAGAAACGAAAAAAAAGACGAAAAAATCTAATATTAACTGCCTTTTATTATCGTTGCACCTTGAAATTAGAAATAACGATAGAATAAATCTTGATTATAGGTTGCTATAAAGACGATATTATTAACGAGAAGTCGAGATGGTAACGTTAGAAATGGGTTTTTACAATTGCCTTTCACGTAGCGCTTATACAATGGCTGACTGTATGGAAGCGAAAAAGCGGAAGACGCTTTCAGAATGAATGTGCGGAAATGTCGTAAATATATTTGAATTATTTTCGTGAGAATTATTACATTTGAGTCTATGATTTACGATTTTAATTGAGATTAGAAAGGTTTGTTTGCTTAAGTAAATGCTTAAAGATAAGGATGTTCGTTGAGTTCAGCTTACTCGCTGATATCACTTTTGTAATATTCCATATAGTATTTGGAATCAACAGCAATTTCCTCTTCCGTTCTCGTTCCATACTTCCGTCGATATTTGCAAGCTAAACATCTCCGACCGATCTCCAACCAACATTGTTCACAATAAATTATTCGACATTTTCTCTTTTGACATTGTTGGTAATAAATTGAATCTTTTGTCATCTTTCGGTCTTGAGTCTCATTGCAGATGAAGCATTTTGGTCGAGCAATAGAAAAACATTGAAGGCACTTGCACAGTGTTGGAAATGCTCGCAAACTTTTCTGTTGCGGGGGTGGAATATTTTTTTTTTCATTTTTTGGAGAAAGGAAAGAGAAAGACGAGAGAAATGGTAGAAATTTAAAATTCAAATGACAGTACTTAAATGTTCATTTCTCTGATTCAGGTGAGCATAAAGACCATAGAAAATGTCAACTAGAGTTTTATATAGAATGCCATGTCATTGAAGCTTCTAACATAACATTCTACTTTAATTTCATGATTGCCAAATCACATAAATCACCTGGAAAAAGTTTTCAGTCTGTTTAACTCTTCCATGAATTTCAAGCCGTTCTTTCACTCTTTGCACCATCAACTTGAAGTGAATCTTCCTTCTTTTAAGAATTTTCCTGTAAAGATACAGAATTCTCGCCCTTTCACGTTTCGGGTAGAAAAAGGAGCAGACGTAATACTTGGATCGATGAATGTACACTTGATTGTAAATCAAATAAAGGTTCAGTAGAAGAAGCAAATAGATTCGAATGATTTTGAACGATTCAACTAGCAAAGGGCGTGGTAAGCATGGTTCGTTAGTCATCGCAACTTTAATGCGCTCATCGATGTTGAAGCCATCAATTGATTCTCTAATCAGATTGGAAATAAAGCCCGTGCCATTCACCGTAATGTTCAAATTATGAACGCCTTCCTGCAAATAATTGACTCGTGAATGACGCGCGATAATTTGCAGAACCTTGTAAAGCAGTTGATCAAGCAGCACAAAGAAAGACGTTATGATAAGTTGGAGAAAAAATTCCACTGTTAATCCAATGTAGCCTTCAAATTCCTTGCACATCTTGTAGTTGCTGCTATTGTTTGAATATAGGTCAACATATTTTCCAATATCAATTTTTCTTAACGGTAAGACATTCGAACGACCAGCTCGTCGTCGACGTTCATCAATTTCCTTAAAATAATTGGTCAGATAGAAATTGTTGAACTCAATGTTATCCAGGTAATCGTCATGAAACTTGATTGCATCTGTGGATGAAGTTTCAAAGAAAATTCAATTGAAATTTTGAATAAATTCTCAATTTTCTTTTACCGTAAATGATTTTCAAATAAATAAAGAGAAGAATCTTTTCAAAAACATTCATCAAATCATAAACAGAATTTGCCTTTTCATCGAAATTCTTCTTTATTTTGTTGTTTGTTTCGTTCATTGAGCTTACAACTTTAGGAGGCTTCTCATTTGTTTTGTATTTAATTGATATATTGGCAGCATGCGTCATGAATTGTTTTCCCATTTCTTTCAATTGCATGTATTCTACTCCAAAGCTCGAATCAATCACATTTGATGGATCACAGGTATTTACAAAAGAGCTTATAAAAGTATTTTCAATCCCACATATCAAATCAATGTTAAACGGCCAACAAATGGCGTATCTGATGGCTGTTGGTATTTCCTCCAAACAGTTATTATAAGCTTTTTCAAAAGCCTTTTCACAGGTGTGAACTCCTTCCATTACTTGGGCTTGGCAGCGTTTTTTAAGCTTTTTCTTGAAGATTGATTCGTAGAAGTCTGCGGGTTTAACGTTGAAACTTTCAGTATCTGAAGGTATCGAATCATGACTGGGTTGAAATTAGAAAATGGAAAAAAGATGAAAAAGGCAAATTAATCAAAACGATTAAGCTTAAGATTGATTTTTACCTTTTTTGTTCAATTTCTTGAATAAGCGGATGTATAAAGGTTGTTATCCTATGAAAGGTCCTTTCAACGTCCATCAAGTGTCGGTCCATACGAGAAAAAGTGTTTGTAAAGGGCTTCAATGCAAGATCGACTTTTGTTTTCGTGAGATTGTAAGTCAAGAAGCTTGTACATTCAACAACCCGCACGACTTCTCGAACATTCGAAATTGTATTTTCAATAGGCCCACTTAGAATTAACATAATGACAAGAGCCTTAATGCCACTACGACCAGCTTTTCCAAAACTCTCCAGCCATACAAGTACTGTCACACATCGGAATTGGATTGAAGATCTACATAAAATGATTGCACAGAGACAAGAAAGTGCCGTCAAAAATAAAATCCAAATGTGAGGAATATTCTTGGGTAATTGAGTGTAAACAAAATTATACAATATAAAGCTTAAAATACATCCGTAAATTATACACCAAAATGTTTTCCATATAAATTTAGTTTTCTTATTTTCTGTAGAAAATAATTTAAATTTTAAAATTTTCTCGATAACCATATCAGCAAACTATGATGGAATGTTAAAATTTTTAACGATCTTCAGCGCCCTTTTTTCAAATTTTGAACCGTTCTTTGTTTTATGAACCGTTTTTATGTAGTTTGACCCGATAGAGAATTCTCATTCGGAAAAAAATATCAAGTTGTACAAAAAACTCGTGGTGATATCTTAATACACGATAATAAAACTTCTAAACGTGAGTTTAAGTATCTTAAAGTAGTGAAAAGGTAAAATAGATTACGAAAATCATAATCAAACTAAGAAATATATAGAGATAAAATGTTACAAGCAGAATTTTAACATTTTAAAATTTATGAACAAAAGTGAAGTTTAAATCCATTTTATCGATAATCCAGAAGCACGTTATGACACCTGATATGATAAGAAATCTAAAACTTCCGAAAAACGACACTCCGATTTTAGATTAGATCAATTTACGTTTTATGACGCATATTTCAATTTATTGCGTTGACACTTTTTGATTGTTGATGACCTGTAAATTCTTCACACATTTCTGATTGCCTTGAAGCCATATCAAATGAGAAACAAAGTTTGATTGCAGAGTCTTTAAATTGTAATCACTGGTGCAAATATAATTGAAACAATTTATGAAATGATATGAAATGCCAGAAACATTTTTTCGCGCGAGTGGGATCAAGAGATGATGATCACATGAATTAAGTTAAAGCTTTCTTAAAACACATTAAACTTAGATAATTAGGGTGAAGTGAGCGTCCAAAAATAACCATCAGGTCCATCATGAATAATTTCATTACACGTTCATGTTTTATTTTTGTTTGTGCAACTGCCCCCGAGTCGATTCATTATCCGAGATTTTTTGCTTACGAAGCTATATTCATTTATGCTTTGTGTTCAAATTTGAGGAATGTGCTTAGTGCTGTCGTGTTCAAACGTTTCTTTCACCTCGAATCTTCTTTTTAAAATCCCGCTTATCTTATGACAGCGAACAAAGTTTAATAAAATGTAGAAAGTGGATTTTTACCATTTATAGCACGGAAATTGATAAAATGAAATGACTAAACTGGGTTACACCGTCTTCATGATAAATTCAAACAAATAACATCGATATCTTGATTAAATAAAATGAATAACAAAAATAACCTTGAGAAGTTCATCAAAATATTTTTTTATTTGAGTGAATTCTCTGAATGAGAATTTACGTCGTTTCAGAACTTTTCTCTCCGTAATGACATAAGTTAAGATCATGTTGAATAAAAGAAACTGGTTTTAATATTCTCTTTCTTGAATTCTTCTTATGGTAATGAAAATAAGTAACTAAGTATGAATCAAAGCGCTCTCTTTGTCTTCAATCACTCTTGGGAGTGCCTCGAGTTTATTTATTAATTAATTTGTATTTTTAACCCCAGAAGTTCTGCATTCCAATTTTTCTACAACAATTGCCTCATAAAAAAGAAAACAAAGCGAAAAATAAATTCAAAATTGGCCGCCGACAGCTGATTCTAAAATAATTTTTTTCTCTTTCTTCAGTAGTTGATACATTGCCGTCATCATAATGTCCACCGGCGGAACAATATTAACCGCTGAAGCAATTCAGATTGTCACAGTGAACGAGGAGGCACACTCGTTTAAATTATCAGAAGAAGAACTCACCCGCATTATCTTACAAGACAATGTCAAGAATCGTGAAGTTGTGATTGTGTCAGTTGCTGGTGCATTCAGAAAAGGAAAAAGCTTCTTACTAGATTTCTTTCTTCGATATTTGTACGCTCGGGTAAGAGAGAAGAAAGAAGAAAAATGAACATTGACCTTGAATTATTGATGAAATGAATCATTTCTTTTAGTACGTTCATCAAAATGTCGACATTAAATGGTTGGGAAAGGAAGATGAACCATTAAGTGGATTCTCATGGCGTGGTGGTTCAGATCGTGTCACAACTGGTATCCACATGTGGTCAGACGTTTTCCTTCATGATTATAAAGATGGTCGTAAAATTGCAATAATCTTGTTGGATACACAAGGCGCATTCGACAGTTTTAGTACAGTGAAAGATTGTGCGACTGTCTTTGCACTCAGCACAATGTTATCATCTGTTCAGATCTATAATTTATCACAAAACATCCAGGAAGATGATCTCCAACATCTTCAACTCTTCACTGAATACGGGCGTTTGGCAAAAGCCGACACTGGGGCGACGCCGTTCCAGAAACTTCTCTTCCTTGTTCGTGATTGGAGTTTTCCTTATGAAGCTGGATATGGATCGGAAGGTGGTGAAAAAATACTCAAAAGACGATTAGAGATTCATGAGAAGCAACATCCCGATCATCAATCACTTCGTCGTCACATTCAAGGATGTTTCAGTGAAATTGGATGCTTCTTGATGCCCCATCCTGGCTTAAATGTCGCAACTAATCCAACTTTCACAGGAAAACTTTGCGATATTTCCAGCGAATTTAAGGAGAGCTTACTCGATCTGATTCCTCTCCTTCTGTCACCTGAAAATCTCATCGTAAAAAAAATCAATGGTCAAGTGGTGCGAGCACGAGATTTGGTGCAATATTTCATTTCGTATTTGAATATTTTTAAAAGCGACGACATGCCAGAACCGAAAACAATGCTGCGTGCAACAGCTGAAGCGAATAATTTGAATGCTGTTGCGACAGCAAAAGATCTTTACACGCAACATATGGAAGACTTTTGTGGTGGTAAAAATCCATATCAGAAGCCACAATTATTGGACGTTGAACATGAACGTGCACGTGAGAAGGCGATTTATCATTTCGTGACAAAACGCAAAATGGGTGGTGATGAATTCTCGGATGAATATAAACAGCAGCTAATCACTTTTGTTGAAGAAACTTTCATTATTTATAAGCAGCAGAATGAGAGTAAGAACATCTTTAAAGCAGCTCAAACGCCGGGCGTTTTCCTTGTCGTTGCACTTTTCACTTACATCCTGAGTGGAGTTTTTGCATTGTTTGGAATGGAAACGTTCTGCAACTTCATGACCTTAATTATGGCAATTAACATCATTGCTTTATGTATTTGGTCTTACATTAGGTAAGAATGTTTGATTGTTGAAATTTCACTTGAATTTATTTCTTTATTCTCGTTTTTGCAGATACAGCGGCGAGTTTCATGAGCTTGGAGTCAAATTGGATCAAATTGCTGAGAAGATTTGGGAATTTGTAAGTTTTTATTCCTTCCTAATCTTTTGTAACTTAAATTTTTTTCTTAGGCTCTCAAACCTTTCTACGAACTCTTCCTTGAAAACAAAGTTAAAGAAGTGACAACGCAAGCCGTTTCTGCAGCGACCGGTCTTTCGCGTGAAAACGTTGAGTCAGCTATGGGCATGTCACGACAAAATTCAAGCTCGAATTCGACAGTCACAAAGCGAACAACACCGAATGGTAAAGTCAAAAGCTTATGAGAACAAGCAAATGCTGGTGGTACAGATGATGATCCTTCATCTCATGGGATTTCATCGTTTTTCGTTAAGTTTTTTAGGAAATCTTCTTCGTCGTCGTCGCCTTCAGAATCAATAGATCTACACGTAAATCACAACAACTTCGAAAATCATCAAAAACCTTCGGGAAAACGTCGAAAAAATCGAAGAAAAGTTTAAAGAAATGAAAAGTTTTAAAAATAAAAATAAATTTTATGTCGTGTTGTTGAGTGCCTCATGAGACAAAACAAAAAATTATTTCAAGAATGAAATGAAGAAAAGTTTTTGTTTGTTTTGTGAAATTTAGTGCAAGCTTGTGAATAATTATTACAAAACAAAAAATAGAATGAAGGAAAAATAGAAACTTGAGTGATAATTAAGATTACAACAATTTCAAATGAAAATTTCTCAATTCAATTTTATTTCTTCTATTTTTTCGTAACATATCTGATCATAATCAACGTACGTAGATAACTCGAAGTAGAAAATTATATTTTAAAGAAATTTAACGTGAATAAATTAAAAACTTTATTGTTGAAGGTTTTGAAGATTCAATGAGAAGATTTACAAATAAATCATTAACTGATCATGATGAAAACAGATCAATAATTAAATATCTGATGAAACAATGGATCATAAATAATGTGCCAACAAAATCTTGCGATAATCTCGCTTGTGTAATTTTTGCAACATTTAATTAGCGGTTTTGTGAGGTTGCACCACAACGGAAATTAATATTAAAGAAATTACACAACCGCAATCACCTTCACTTCTTTTTTTCCACAACACGAATTATATTTGCATTTGTTTTAATAATATGAACGGTTCAGCACAAGACAACGATAAGCAATTTATTATTCAATGAACCTTCTGAAAGAAAACTTCCTCTGATTTGCTCAAAATGTATTTTAATGATTAAATGTGCATTAATTTAAAAGATGTTTAAAATCCTCGTTTTATTCTCTTAAATACTTTCCAATCAATCCAATTTCCTTTTTTAAAAAGAAAAAAGTTAAACACAAAATATTTAGTCATAAGCGAATTCAGACTAACAAACGAAACTTTTTCCCGATTCTTTCTTTATGAAAGTTTAACATATTTAATTAAAAACAACAAAAAAAAGTTAAAAATGTAAAAAAATAAGATCAAAATTCTAAAAAATCGAAGAGAAGGGAAAACAATAAAAATTAACTGAGTAAGATGTGGTGATTTATGATAAAATGAAATCTTTTTCTTTATTAATGTTTTCGTGAAGTTTCACGACATGCTTCCGAAGACCGCTCCGAGTTTTGTATTCCAAATTGCATTCTTTACATGAATATTTTACTTCTTCTTTGTGAGTTGATTGATGAAGTGTCAAAAGTCGTTTACTCTTAAACATTTTCATGCAAATGTCGCATTGATAGATTGTTCCATTGTAATGCATGAATGAATGCATTTTAAGATCGCGTTGGCGATAAAATTGAAGTTCAGGACATTCACTGCAAAGATAAGCAATTCCTTGATTCTTCGGTTCGTGAACTGACTCGTAATGTCGTTGACCAAGTTTTTCCGTCTTGAAAGTTTTCATGCAAATGAAGCAACTGAAAGGCTTCTCTTGACCTTCTTCAGTGTGCATGTTTTTGATGTGTTGCTTCAAATTCTTCTCCGCAAGTATAATTTTGCAAAATGGGCAATTGACGTAAATTTTCACCACACCATGTTTCGATTCGTTATGAATTTTCAGTGATAAAATTGTCTTGAAACTCTTTGAACATTTTGAACAATGAAAATCTTTTGTCAAAGCATGAATCGCTTCATGTCTTCTTAAATTTCCAACACTTTTAAATCCAGCATTGCAAATCGAACAAATGTATTTTCTTGCATTATCATCGTGACTGAGTTTATGTGTTTCGTATTTGCTTTTTATATCAAATTTCCTGTTACACAATTCACATGTGTAAGCTTCAACAAGCACCTGTGGCTTGACCTCGTGAATATCAATTGAATGTTCAAAAAGTTTTCTTCGACTTTTAAACGCCTCCGGACATTCTTTGCACTTGTATTTTTGGAAGATTGAATGCAACTTCATGTGCTTTAAAATTTCTTTCTTAAATTTGACTTTTTCACCACAAAAATCACAAATGTAAATAAGATGTGGACGACCATTTCGCAATTTTATTGATTGTGGGGACTTTCTCTTACGAATCCATCGTGTTTTTAGTGACTTCTCATTTGGTTCGTTTTCAATTTCATTCTCGTCTTTAACATCGTCAAAAAATTTACCAAACAAATCTTCAGTCTCTGATTCCGATTCTTCTTTTCCACTTTTTATATCTTTTAATAAATCAATCGTGTCTTCTTTCTGGGGATATTTTCTAGATGGTGCTGTTACTTGATTTAATTGATTCTTAGCAATTTCAGCAATATCCACTTGATCTAATTCTTTCGTTTCATCGGATTCTGCTTTCAATTTTGGACCTTTGCAGCGATTCATTCGAATATGTTTGGCAAGACCGGTCTTAAAAGTGAAATAATCACCGCAGGTTTCACATTGAAAGCTTTTCTCGCTTTGATGTTTCTGCATATGAATTTTAAGAAGGCGATTATTCTTAAAGATTTGATCACACTCATGGCACGTTTTAATTTCACCGTCGAAATGAATAAAACTATGAATTCTCAATTCCTCTTTCATTTCAAAGAAGACATTACACAAATTGCATTTAAAATGAAGTTCTTTACTTTTATGTATTTGGTAGTGATGATTATTCCTGGCAGTTTTTGTTGGAAACATTCTTGTACAGTGGTTGCATTTGAAGGGAAGATCTAAAGTATGTTTCGTAGCAAAATGATTTTGAAGCAAGATTTTTGTGCTAAACATCATTCCACAGGCACTACAAATATGCTTTTCAATATGCTGAAATAAATAAAGTTAATTAAAAAAACTAACATTATGAACTAAGTCGTAATCTTACCATTTTTAAATGTCTTCTAAATGTATGTAAGCTGATGTAAGATTTTGTACAAATATCACATGTAAGAATTTGATTTTTTCTATGACGATCCATGTGAATTCGAAGATAATCTTTTGCGTTAAATTGTTTGCCATCATAATCACAAATGTAGATTTTGGGAGTCTGTGGATGTTTAGTGATCAAATGTCGTTTATAAAAAGCTTCAGATTTGAGTACAGCTGAGCAAATCTCACAGATTATCACTCCATGATTAATCTTTTTGCTGTGAGTATTTGCAATGTGACGGTCAAGTTGGGTTTGTGATGTAAATGATTTTCTCCTATGACACTTGATGCAGTGATATCTTTTAATTTTTCTTTTACAAATTGTTTGATCAACAATGTCATTTATTAAATTTATTTTTTGTTTTCGTTCTCTTTGGGGCCTTAATGAATGCTTCTGAATATCACTCACATCTGATGCACTTTCCTTGATATTTTCTACATAATAATTTGAAGTCATTGTGAAGTGGACCTATATAAATACGTTGTAATCTAAAAATTAAAGTCAAGCAGAATAAAATTGAAATTGTTTCGTTTTGATTATTAAAGTGACAGACGGACAAAAAGTGCTGAATTGAAGAAATTGAATTCTGGAAACTTGTGATGAATACACAAAACCAAAACAGATCAAAACAAAACATTATTAAACAAATATTTATTACCTATTACTTATTTATAATAATATTTTAGAGTTTTTAAAAATAAAAAATGATGGATCTAGAAATAGAAATTCAGGAAGACTTTACCGGTGTAAATTCTCTTGAGAGGAGATCGAACAAATCAAAGTTGATAAAGTACAAACAGAAATTAAAGAAGAATAAGAAAATGTTTCCTTGTGATCATTGTAAAAAGATTCTCTCATCATTTATCCATTTACAAAAACATTTAAATACAACTCACAAGCCTAAGGAGTTTATTTGTGATTATGAAGGGAAATGTTTTAACACTAAAGATAAATTAAGGCTGCACATTTTACAACATCGACTTTATTATCGTGTAAGTTGTAATATTTGCCAAAAAGAATACAAAACGAATCAATCGATGAGAAAACATTTAAGAACTCATTTTGAACAACATCAATGTGAAGCATGTGGACAGACATTTCGTTATAAGCGACTTTTATTAAATCACATGTCGTCAATTCATCAAGATGATCCAACAATTCCATGTAATTGTAAGTTAAGTAACTATTTTCACCTTAATTTGTTTCTAACTTATTCTCATTAAAGATTGTACAAGACTATTCTCAAGTAAAACGACAAGAGATGCTCACCATAAAATGATTCATCAAAATCAACGAAGAAATCTTGAATATTTTAAATGTCCCGATTGTTCTCTTGGATTTGAAATGAAAGAAGAGCTGAGGATACATAGTTTCATTCACTTTGAAGGAGAAATTCATACTTGCTACGAATGCCATCAAATTTTTAAGAAAAAGAAACTTCTAGAGAATCACATGAATAAACATGAAAAGCCAACATTTCAATGTAAAGCATGCAAACGAATGTTCAAATATCGACCAAATCTGGGGAAACACATTAAAAATGGTCGTTGTAAAGGTCTGATTGATAACATTATAAAAACCATGACACCGCAGGAAGAAGCTGAAGTTGCGAAAGAACAATTAATTAAAATGACTGTCAATCCTACAAGAGTCAATCTCATTGGAGTTTCAGACATTTGCAAAACTAAAAGTGAAAAAATTGATAAAAATATTGCAGTTAAAGAAGAAAATTTTGAGGAAAACATTTCTGCAGTAGTCATTATTAAAAGTGAAGAAATTAAACAAGAAAAAATAGTTAAACAAGAGAAAAGTTCTTCGAAAATACTAGAACAGTCAAAGAAACTCGATCGAAGCTTGATAAACGATTATTTTTGTGATTTGTGTGACTTTTCAGCAAATAAAAAATGTCAAATGTTATCACACATTCGTCATCATATTTCGTCTAGACGACACGGTTGTATCAATTGTAATGAAAGATTTGCTACGCGAATGAAACTTCACAATCACTCAATGAAAGTTCATGGACGTGGAGTAATTGGATCAGTTGAGTATAGTAAAGCATCAGCGCCATGTCCAGAGTGTTATCAAGTTTTTAGTGCGGAAAGATTAAAGTTTCATATGAAATTACATGAAAAACCTCGACATGACTGTGAAATCTGCAAGAAGTCATTCAGAAGTCTTTCGACTTTGGGAAAACATTTAACAAACATTCACAGTGATGAGAAAAAGTTTACATGTACGACCTGCGGGAAAGGTTTTCGCAAACTAACAATCTTAAAACATCACGAAGAGATTCACAATCCAATAAAAATTTACGTTCAATGTGAAATTTGCAATACGATGATGCAAATGAAAAGTTACAAACTTCATATGGAAGTTAAGCATGGCGATCGTTATAAAGACAAACCTCACATTTGTGAATGTGGAAAAGCATTTCGTTACATTAAACAATTGACAAAACATTATGAAAATGTCCATAAAAAAGTGAATCGAGGAGTTATGTATCTTTGTTCTGAACCTGGTTGCGAACTGGCATTTAATCGCCGAATAGATTTACGCAATCACTCGTTCGATCATTTCAGTGGCAAAATCTTTGAATGTGAATGTGGAATGAAATTTAAAAAACGGAAATTGCTCACGATTCATTCTGCAGTTCATAAAGGTGACACATTTCCATGCAATCATTGCAGTTTAACATTTCAAACACGAGGTGGGAGAAGAAAACATCAAATGAAAATTCACAGTAGACATGTGGAGGAAATTTTCTAACTTCCGAAATTTTCCACTCATTTAGAGATGATTTAAAGTTTAAATTTCATAGACTTTATTATCTGAAATTTGTTGCACGATAAAATTTTAAATAAACTGACTTTATAAAGTATTTTGTACTTTTTTCTTACGAAATTTCTTTTCAGCCCACCCCACAATCATTCCAACAATTGTTAATGATTTTCTTTTATCAGTAAATAAAGAAAAGTTTATTCGAAATCATTTTTATTTTCACAGCCGAACAACAAGTAAACATGTTTTTAAATCAAGCGAAGGGGATACGAATCGGAATCATTGCTGTAGACATTTCTGTCGAACTGCAAAATAAAGAACTTTATACATCAAAATATCAGTCTGATAAAAATCTGTTGATGTTTGTGCTTTTCTTTTCTGACAACTTCCACAACAAATTTATCTTCCTAGTCAAAACAAGTTTTCTTTTTTCGGAAAAATTACAAGATTGAAAATTTTCTTCAAATCTTAAAATAATTTCAAAAATTCCAATCTTAGGAAATTCTTTTAATTTTTTAATAAAATTTGTTTTAAGACTTCATATTTTCTTATATTTTCACGTAAGAAATATTTCTCGATATCAGAAATTATAAAATTATTGTAAAACATGCGATGAAAATCACATTCAGCACTTATAGGATCGTCAAAAATATCTTTTTTTGTTGTTTTCAACTTGTTTGTTACTGATTTGGATAACAAATGACCAGAAATGAGAAACAAACCAATGCGTATGGAGGTAAAGAATTAGTTCTCTTCGGAAAGGGAAATGGTCAAAGCTTTAAGCTTCCAATTGATATAACGAAGAAGGGAGGAAAGAGAAGTTCTTCATCATCATGAAAATCTTTTGTTTTTCATCGTTTTTCAGAAATCAAACGAGAGAGAAAATAAATTTTCCTCTCATATTTTAGCTTAGCAACGGAAAGAAAATGCAACTCGATCAGGAAAGATTTTGTAAAAATCAGTTGCTGATGGAGCTTTGACGAGATGTGATGGAAAACTGAAAGCTCTTTAGAAAAAAGAAGAACAGTGAAAGTTAAATACATTTAAAGTGAAAATTAATGTCAAGTGATTCTTAATCGAGTGCTTTTCATTGATTTCCTTCTCAATTTTTTCATTGTCGCAAATAGAATAAATTATGGAATGGACATGTGGAAATTATCATAAATTCAAGTCATAAGAAAATTATGAAATGAAACAAATTTCTTGTCTCAACATATCAAATTTATAGAAATCATTTTTCTGTTCAAATCCTATTAAATTTTGTTGATCGCTTCAATTGACCATCAGCTTTTGAAAAAATAAATATTTCCATTTCTATTTTATTTGTTCTTTGATTCTATAAAATATTTTCTTTCGCTTCAAATGATTCAGTTTGAATTTATGTTTATTCAACTTTCATGCTTCAATTGGCACATCAAAGTTATCTTTCATGTTGGATGTCCTTTCAGTGTTACATTTTTAAGTTCAAGAAATTTTCCTTTCGCTTTATTCGTTTAAGAAAATTGGATGGCATTCATTTCAATATCTATTTTAAGAGTAAAGAAAATTTCCAAGTTAAACTAATTATGATACTTAATCACGAAAAATCTAAACAATATTTTAATCAATATTCAGAAACGAACGAAAATTATGTCAAGTGATTAGTAAGCAAATGCAGTTAATCGATTTTGCTTTTCATTGTCATAATGTTAATGAAAGTTGAAGACTAAGAAGAATTTTAATTAAATCTTTAAGAAATTCACACAATACGACAAGATAGAAGGTGAAGCTTCTTCAGGTATTTGCATTGTTAATGAATTAATTGCAAACAGATTTTACCGCTGTTAATTAGTGTTAAGTCCTTAGATATTTATTCAACGAACCCGTTGTAAAGATTTAATTTGAATTTCAATTTAATTCCAACTAAAGTTTACTTTTATTCATGTTATTTACTTGCTAAACAGATTCAACATTCTAAAAGGAATTTTTTTAAAGTATTTACTATCTGAAAAAACCTTTACAAACCAAGAATTTAAAACACTTTTGAGGAAGTTTTTTTATTGCTATGCTGATGATTGTTTTATCGAGAACGCTCTATTTAGAATTTCTTTCATTTTTGCATAGGAAAAGTGAACGAAAAGTTTCATCAATGAAATTATGTAAAAGAGAAATTTGCATTGTTAAGTAATGTCATCATCATCATCATCAAGTCTCGGACGAGTTTCTCCTTATGAGAGACTCCACATGATTGCGTTAAGTAATGTAAAGAATAAAAATATGTAAAGAACTTTTCTAGTGATGTAATAAGTGTTACTATAAATAGATGCCGACATGCTAAGCGATTACGATTATGCAAAATAACATGAAAAGTTGTTGAAATTGAAACTACACTTGTGAGCTCATGAAAATTCATAAATGAATTAGTGACAAAATAAAAGTTTCTAAAATAACTGCATAAATTAATTGATTTCATATAAAAGAAGTGTTCGCCAAATTAATGTCATTCTTAAAGTTTTATGAGATGAAACCGACTCTGCTGTTAGTCCTTTTAATTTCATCACCAAAAATGTTAATTTTGGGTAAAAAATTCAATAATTATCATCCACTTAAGAAGCAACAGAATCAACACACCGACATATCCCAACTTTTGGATAAACTTCTAGAAAATTATGTAAATAAATTTCGACTCATAAACATAATGAAAAGCTTTCGACATGAAAGATTTTATTTTGATTTTGATTTACAAAAAGCAGGATAACAGTTTACGACCAAACTTTGGTGGATTGCCGGCTGTGGTTGAGATCGACTTGATGGTGAGGTCCATGGGGCCTGTGAGTGAGATAGAGATGGTGAGTTGAATGAATTTCAGTCACGTATTTATATGCTAAGATAGATAATTGAATAAATATCTAAATTGCTACTGTCAAAGTTGAATCCATTATCTTATTGCATTGTTTAGAACCAAAAACTTTCTCAACCGTGAATTTTAACTTTTATGTCGTTTCTAAGTTTTAAAGCAAATAGCCATTAGTATGGTTTAAACTCAAAAGGAATCTTGTTAAAAGCTCTTTTCAAAAGAATAATGCAATACTACGTTCTACTCTAATGAACGATGACTTTTAATCTGAAGTTCCTTCTCAATGAAATTTAGTTTTTATATTAGTGAAGATTCAATATCTAAAGTTAATTCAATAAAAACGTGACAAGTTTTTGCTCATGAAACTTTAGTTGAAATGAAATTTAAAATGAATTCGATTTAATTTGATTCCAGTATCTGGATAAAAGGTTTAAGTTTCATGTTACGATTTTCAGATGATACTTTTTTCCCCTCTTTTTATAACAAAGTTAAATAAAGAATCAAAGGATTGTTTTTTAATGCTGCGGTTCTTTGTCTTTCTCTGAAAGTTTTTTTTAATGTGGTTATGCTTTTTATGTGGTTTTCATAAGTTTCTTAACATCTTCCCTTTTTTCTTAATGTCATTCGTAGACTTACAGCATGGATTGCTACTTCAGGTAAGATTTTAAGTTCTCATCATTTTGCTTTCAATTTGGACATTATCAAGATCTTTCATAAACAAAGACAAACTTGGATCGATCGACGTTTGGCCTTTGAAGACTCTTCGCACAATGTTTCAACGCTTGCACTCAGCATTTCTATGTTGAAAAAGATTTGGAAACCCGATACCTACTTTTTCAATGGCAAGCAATCTTATTTACATACCATCACAACCCCCAATAAATTTGTCAGATTATACAAGGACGGTCGAGTTCTCTACTCGAGTAGGTAAAGCAATTAATGGGGAGATTCCCAATTTGTATTGTAATAGAAAAGAAAAGAGAAATTTAATCCGAGTTTCAGATTAACAATCAAAGCAGCATGTCCCATGAACTTGGAAAATTTTCCCATGGATGTTCAAAGGTGTCCTTTAAAATTAGGGTCATGTAAGTTTTTAAATCTTCTAAGCGTTTAATTCTTAATCTAAAATTATATTTCAACAAGATGTTCCAGGTCAACGATTTGATTTTTGATTTTTCTTCCTTTAACATGTTATTAGTCGGGTATACAACTTCTGATGTCCTTTATCGTTGGAATTCTCGAGCTGTCGCAATAAGTGATGACTTGAGAATGTCACAATTTGATCTCATAGACGTCCCATCTTCAAATCAGTCGATAAGTGTTGGAAAAAATGAGAAATCGATTGGTAACGTGCACATTTCATTAAAACTGGAAAATTTTCTTACCATGAAAATATTTCAACAGCTTTACAAGAGTATTCAGTTCTTCTAGTATCGTTTCATCTTCAACGTCATATGGGGAACTTTTTAATTCAAGTTTATGGACCTTGCATTTGTGAGTTGAAAAGAAATTAAAGAAATTTCATTTGTTGAAATAATTTTTAATTTTATTCAGTGCTTGTGGTTCTTTCTTGGGTTTCGTTTTGGTTGAACCGTGAAGCTACAGCTGATAGGTAAATGGAAAAAAAATCATACAGTTTACTTTTTAATATTAATTAATGTCCTTTAGAGTTTCGCTTGGAATCACGACTGTTCTTACTATGACATTTCTTGGCTTAGAAGCTCGAACTGATCTTCCTAAGGTTTCTTATCCAACTGCTTTGGATTTCTTCGTTTTTCTTTCATTTGCTTTCATTTTCGCAACCATTCTGCAATTTGCTGTAGTTCATTATTTTACAAAATATGGATCTGGTGAATGTTATTTCAATTTCTATGAAGAATCATCGTCAGATTCAGAATCAGAAGATGAAGAAATCGCATATTATGGAAAAGATTCAACAATGCCAACGAGTCAATTAAGTAGCATGACACACGTGAATTCTGCAGATATGTATGGTGTGATTCCGCTTTCAAGATTGGAACTGAATTTAAATGATCAGAAAAAACATTTTAAATTTATGCGACGATTTCGAAAATTTCTGGAGATTTATTTCCCATGCTCATTTAATTCAAAGAGAAATGAAAATGCCGAAGAAACTTCTGTTACCGATGATGAATCAATAGCACAATGTGAACAACAGATTGATTCGAATGCATCTACAATCACTCATAACACACCGAAATGTCGTCGACATTCTTCACAAAACATGAAACAGCCTCGAGGTTTCCGAAGAAACTTTAATTCAGTTTCAAAAATCGATAAATTCTCAAGAGTAGTTTTTCCACTTTTGTTCTTTATTATAAATTTGCTTTATTGGATATTTTACTTGACAAGAAGTCAAAGAAAGTAAATAAAATTATAAAAGTTGAACAAGTAGGGTGAATGATTGAATTGATGTCCTAAACCTATTGTTGGACCTTCTTTTATTTCTGAAAGCAAGCGTTTTTGGTCATTGTGTTGTTTAACAATGTTGTTTATAATTATGCTAAAAACATTATTCTCTTTGTCAATATGGTGGCTAAAAGTTTAATTAGACTGAAAACTTCAAAAGAAATTTCAGTGTTTTAAGTTCAAAATTTAGCCACAATTACGATGCT